CATCTGGCATCCCCTACCTCCTCACCTGTCAGTGGGCCCCCCCCCAGCCTTGGGCCCTGGGGTGGCCGCGCCGGCTGCACCACCGATAGTTCCGCCCCTGAATGGAGGGGCAGCCTAACTAGAAAAACAGTCTAAATTGGACCTAAAAAATAAAAAAAATATTGAAATAAAATATTGGTATGTTTGGTGCAAAGCAGTATTTTAAACAGGAAGTCTTTAAGATTTTTTTTCCCTCTCACTTCTTGGTGCTAGGTGACAGGTGTTAGACAGCACAGTAAATGATAGGAGATTTTACCAATATGGATACAGATGGCATTTAAAACCTGACCTGAGGTTCTACTCTTCCCCATTTATTTAAAGTTAAAAATGATTTTGCCAGATTGGCTTTACAGTCAGTAGTCAATGTGTTTAATTTCTTTCATACAGTTTTTGAAAAAAATAAAACCTACAGTAACTTACATTGTTTACTGTACATTTAGCCACATCAATATGTTCATAGCTTTAATTAGTACATTTATTTAAGTCTTTGAATCCAACCTTAAATATAACCAGTTTTTAAGGTAGGTGATGCACCACAGCAATTCCATTTAGCTGAATATACAATATATGAAGTGCTTAATGGTTTAATTCCCAGGTCTTCTGTGTGTTGGTTGTCTACCATATATATTTACAAGTATGACATATATTGAAAGTGAAATAGTTAGATTACTGAGTCTGAAAGTGCTTAGCATGAAATATACAGAAAGGCAGACCACAGGAAAGGGGAAAAGAAGGCCTGTAATGTTAAAAGTCCAGACTAATTTCCTTTCAGTCCACTTTAAATTGCTAAATGCTGTCTGACTGGAGCTCTTATCCTTGGCAAAAAAAATTATTTGGTTCACAAATAAATTAATGTTGTTGTGACCATAAATAACAATTTAAAATGAAGGCTACAACACTTTTGTTTAGGATGAATGCTGGTAAGTTGAATCTGTTGGTGTCCCACATCGGTACAATTCTACAATTCTACCTACTGGACTTTCAGTACGGTATATATGCATGTATGTATACATATATATTATGGAAAATTGTTATCATACTTACCGTAATTTTCTTTTCCTGGCTCATCCTCATGTCGGCATACATACTGTGCCAAGATGAGGTGAGCCAGGAATATGGAAAATTGTTATCATACTTACCGTAATTTTCTTTTCCTGGCTCATCCTCATGAGGTGAGCCAGGAAATATATACATATATATATATATATATAGATAT